TCTGGTTTTGGGATTGGTGGGTACCAGAAAAGAAAAATTGGTACTCGATACGGAAAAAACGGTATCTGTGCCTCCCTACAAAAATGTAAGTTTTTGTGTTCGTATACAGCAACTGCATATTCCTACTTCATGTACCCCTGGTGCACATTGCTGGCATATGTTTTTATTTTAAAATACCTCAGCAAAGGTGGAAATGGGCTTTAAGTCTTGCCAGGCCACCACAGTATCTCTAAGAATCGGATAGTTCTTAAAGGGGAACTATGGGGTCAGTGCTTTTCCCCATAGTTCTAAGGGTAACAGGAATACACAAACTAGCGTCCTCCCGTGACCCAAAGCTCAGTATACCGCGAGCTACAGCTCGCGGTATACTGAGACGCCACAGCCGGGACGGATCTCGACAATACTGCGAGATCCGTCCCGGAGCCAGCTGCGTGAGCTGCATATCTAGAGGCAGAGCCAGCTGTACCCGCCCCCTCCCCCGTCCGTTGCGCCAGTCAGCGCTGGAGGATCGGACCGGGGAGGGGGGAATCCCTCCAGGGAGCTGTGAGTGACCGTCACGGCTCTCTTCAGGGATAGATCGAGAAGTGGGCGAGTGACCCTCACTTTGCGATCTATTAAAACGACGTGTGACAGTTTCATCGTCACACGTCGGCTCGAACTATGAGGTAGAGTGATTTTCACTCACCTCATAGTTCTCCTTTTTTAGTTTTGACGGCTTCTTAGATAGTCTAGTATGCGGCAAAGTTGTCATCTTCCAAGGTTTGGCTATTTCTGCTTCCAACGGCATGTTAGTGTAATATGAGACTCCGCTAATTGAATTAAAAGAACACCTTAAAAGATGCACAATATTGTAAGCCCTAATGCTTGGGGAATGTAACCCCCGTCTAATTGTTAGGCCGTAAGTCTACGTAAAGCTATGCGTGGATGTTTGGATTTCCACAAAAACTTTATGAAAGCCTTCTTGAGGGCCTTCGCATCAGAGTGTAGTAACAACAAAGGTATATTCTGGAGAGGGTATACAAGTCTAGCAAAACGAATCATTTTTATGAAACGAGCCCTTCCAAACGGTGATGATGCTAAGCAGGATATTGTAGTAAATATCAGTAATAGAGAAAGGGAACGCATTTTTTTAGATCAGTGTGAAAGATTTGTGCACAAGAGGTAGAGCTGCGACCCTGAGAGGTGCAGTTTACAGCAGGGGTCCCAAAGTACCAGCCCGCGGGCCAACTCCGGCCCAAGAGCCGATACTATGTGGCCGGCAGCCAGCTGACAAGTTAGGCACGCGGTCACAGACCACGTACCTGACTTGCG